CTGCCACAGCGCCCGGCTATTTTTTGGTTGCATTTCAGCCGGGGCCAGGTTTGAACCGCCACCCTCAGTATGTGGGGCCGGCGCCCTACTCAATGAGCCTCAGGCGCCACCCACACACAGATATTTTTAATGAAACAGATGGGCAAGTTTGGGTCCTCCCTCTGGGCTCTTACTTCCTCCTCTCTAAAACTAGCAGGTGAGACTAGATGGTCTCAGAGATCCTTATCAGTCATGATATCCTGTGATTCTATAACTGGCTTCTCAGAAGGACAGTGAGCTGGTGAATTCTGCTGGGGAGGGCAGCACCCTCAGGACACAGGCCGTGGGAGGGGAAGATGGGGGATGGTGCAAATGACCATCTCTCTCTATCAAAGACTTGACCTTGGGGGTCAAAAGGCACCAAGGCACAACTTGCCAAAGAGCTTCCTCCCATCTCCTCTCTAAGGCCTTCAAACGGTGGGGTTGGCACCAGATGGGCCTACAGCTGGGAATCCAGACCTAGCTCTTCCTGCTGGGTGTTGAAGGGTCCTGTCTCCTTATTTTAAGGATCTTCTCTTCCTTCGGCCACTCTCTCTAGCCTCACAGGTCCTGCCTGGGCCCTCCACCCACTCCTGCCAGTGGGACCCTCTGGAAAGCCCTGTTCAGTGCCAGCAGCTGACACAGGAAGGGGAGAGGGTTGGCTTTGCAGTAGCTGAGGCTACCTCCCAGCTGTAGCCCTTAGGAGCTGCAGTCATTTCCCTTCCTGCCCCCTCCTCCCCAGCTGGGAGGCCAAGAGGTTTCATCACAGCTGAGTTGTTGTCCTTATAAGGGAAGGGCCTCGGAGCCCCTGGGCCAGGGCCAAATGGTAGAGAATGTGGCCAGGCTGTGGGGTGTCCTCTAGGTGCCAGGAAAGGTGGGTTGCCTCAGTCTCTTGGGCTGAGCCTCCATCTAAAGTCATAGGCCCTCCAGGGAAATAGCAGGGAGCAGTCAGTTGTGGCCCCAGGGCAGGACCCCAAGGCAGAGTCAAATTCCAGGTCCCAACACTGCGGGTTTCCTGGGCAAGTTGCTTAAGCCTCAGTTTCCTAACTGTAAAATGGGGTGAACATTATACCTTCCTCATGACGCCACTGTGTTGACAGTGAGAAAACAATAGGCCTGGCAGATAGTAGGTGCTCTGGGGGCTATTAAGCATTTTCTGAGGCAGACCACTAACTAGGTAGTGTTTCACAGTAAGCCTATGAAGGAGGGAGAGTCAGTCCATTTTACAGATAGGAAAAACTGAAGCACAGTTTGCCTGAGGTCACTGATGACCTCAGTTTAAATAGTTTGAAATATAGGTGTGCCTGTCTCCAAACCTAAAAGCATGTTTTTTCTATTTACACCCTACTGTTACACCCAGGAATTTTGTTTTTAAATAAAAGTTATGACAACAGAGAGGAATTTCCACCATTACCTCTCCTCCTTCCACGTTCCATGTGCTCCTCAGTCACAGAAACCCCCACTGGAATGGGTTTGTGTGGGACTAGGAGCAGGGCAGTAGACCTACTGACTCCAGAGACAAAGGATGCTGCCAGGGCCCAGGCTTAAGTGTGGGGACAGAGGGGCCAGTCCAGAGGCTCCTCCCCATCAGTTCCTCCCTGTCTGTCCTGGGTCCTGTCTGAAGGTAGCCACTTTGTAGTTTGCAAAATCCTGCACTGTCACTACCCACAGGACTTCAGGCCACTGAGATATGGCAGCCTGTGTTCCGAAGCGGGCTCGTTTCTCTACACAGGCCTCCAGCCCCCAAGGCCAGAGGGGAAAAGTTCTTACCACATCCTTCCCCAGCTTTGTGGCTGGCCACCAACACCATCCCAGCAGATACAGAGCTTCAAGTCAGGCTGGCCCTCAAAGTAGCCTTCAGAGGGGACCTAGTTTTGGTCAGGGTTGAGGGGACAAACTCCCATCAAAAAAGAATTCCTCTTAGATGAAGGGGCCTATGGAGGTGAAGTGATTTACCTGAGGTCCCTAGCTTCTGCAGGATACTCACACGCTATGGCTGTCACACACCAGGCCAGAGGCGGGGCATTCAGGAGAGACACGAGTGCCATAGCTACTGTTGAAAGGTCCTGGGTCAGGTGCTTCCTGTTATGTTGGCCACTGGGCCTGTCCGGCAGCCCTCGCAGAAGAGGAGGAAGGGAGCCAGTCCTTGGTGAGCTCAGCCGAGCTTTCCCACATTAGGGAATCATTTTTATAATCTTTTGTGGGTGAGAAAATCAAGACCCCTGAAACTCAAACTCACCCAGAGTCCCTGGGTGGGATTTGAACCTTGGCAGCTTAACTTGGATCTCTGTCAGACCCAGGAACTTCCCACAAGTGCTCAGGGAAGCCCTGGGGTTCTGCTGACATGTGTCAGGTACCACAGGCCTAAAACAGGGTCACCCTTAGCCAGCACCAGCTCTGAGGGTAAAATGACAGCTGGAATCATCATTTTGAAACCATTACAGGAAACACCTGTTCAGCAAGAATCATCAATGGATACTAAATCTGGGGGAATCTGTGGTGAGGTACAACATATGTGCATGGTCTCAAGATGTCTCCCACAGACTGTTTATTAGTTGCAAGAGAAAGAAACATTAACTATATGCTACGTAAATCAGACACCAGGTGATAAAAATGAACATCACCAATGAGGGCAGATGGACGGAGTGTGTCTCCAGATGTGATACCCTGAGGACACAATATTACTCATGCAGTTTTCTAGACACAATGTACAACCTCAATCTAATTGTTGAGGAAACCTCAGACAAACCCCAAATGAGGCTTGGTCTATTAAAAAGGGGTGGAGGGGGCGGTGCCTGTGGCTCAGTGAGTAGGGCGCCAGCCCCATATACTGAGGGTGGTGGGCTCAAACCTGACCCTGGCCAAACTGCAACAAAAATAGCTGGGCATTGTAGTGGGCACCTGTGGTCCCAGCTACTTGGGAGGCTGAGGCAAGAGCATCGCCTAAGCCCAAGAGCTGGAAGTTGCTGTAAGCTGTGTGACACCATGGCACTCTACCAAGGGTGACAAAGTGTCTCTAAAAAATAGCCAGGTGTTGTGGCAGGCACCTGTATTCCCAGCTACTTGGGAGGCCAAGGCAAGAGAATCACTTGAGCTCAAGGGCTTGAGGTTGCTGTGAGCTGTGATGCCACAGCACTCTACCAAGGGCTACAAAGTGAGACTCAAAAAAAAAATTGCTCAAATGAAAAAACAATGGGTTAATTTGACTAAATGGGTGTTCTTTGCACTATTCTTATTCTTACAACTTTTCCTTAAGCTTGAAATTATTTCCTAACAAAGTTTTTAAAAATTGAAAAGCAGCTCAGCGCCTATAGCTCAACCGGCTAAGGCGCCAGCCATGTACACCTAAGGTGGCGGGTTCGAATCCCCAGCCCGGACCCGCCAAACAACAATGACGGCTGCAACCAAAAAATAGCCGGGCGTTGTGGCGGGCGCCTGTAGTCCCAGCTACTTGGGAGGCGGAGGCAGGAGACTCGCTTGAACCCAGGAGTTGGAGGTTGCTGTGAGCTGTGATGCCAGGGCACTCTACCCAGGGGGACAGCTTGAGGCTCTGTCTCAAAAAAAAAAAAAAAAAAAAAATTGAAAAGCATTAGGCTGGGCATGGTGGCTCACACCTGTAATCCTAGCACTCTGGGAGGCCGAGGTGGGTAGGTTGCCTGAGCTCACAGGTTTGAGACCAGCCTGAGCCAGAGCAGTGTCTCTAAAAATAGATGGACATTGTGGCAGGTGCTAGTATTCCCAGCTACTTGGGAAGCTGAGACAAGAGAATCGCTTGAGCCCAAAGAGTTTGAGGTTATTATAAGCTATGACACAATGGCACTCTACTGCGGGTGACAAAGTAAGACTATCTCAAAAAAAAAAAAAATTGAAAAGCATTGCCCCTTTTGACACTTAGCCCCCAACCCCTACAGAAACACTGGGGTGTGAAATCAGAGGGCCTGAGTTTAGCAAGGACAGAGCAGGCAGCGCCTCTAGCCCAGAGGACAGCCCTGAAGCTGCCCCCCACACACACATTAATAAACAGGCTTGGGCAGAAAAGTTCTATAAAAAGGGATTTATTGCCAGACTTCAAGAAAGGCGCTTCATAAGCAGAAGACAGAATGCCATCCCCCTCAAGAAAGTGAGCATGGCAGCCTCCGCACATTGCTGCCCCTCCACTCCTTCCCCGGAAGCCAGCTTCCCCCAGGCCTCAGGCTTCCAAGGCACAGGAACCCCATGGGAACCAATAATGTTTGGCCACTGAGGTGGCCTACAGCTACTTGCCCAAACTGGTCACTTGACAGAGGAAACTGAGGCTCTAATTCCTGGAATTAGGTGATTTGCCTAAAGTCCCTGCCAGCCCTGACACTGGTGGGGTGAATCTGTTCCCCAAGGGAAGATGGCAGGTGTCACGTGACTGTGGGCACCTGATGACACTCTTGCTTCTGTAGTGGAGACAGGTGATGGAAAGGCAGACTGTGACAAGGCAGGCCCAGTGGGCTCAGAGCCCAGGCACTACCACTCATGTCCGCACCTGCCCCTCCTGAGCCACTACCCTCTAGAACAAAATAACAGTACAGTACGGTACAGTAAGGCCTCAGCAGGCACGGCTGGTGGCTGGGTGTGAAGGCAGTGGGCAGGAAGGCCAGGACATGCTGCTGTGACCCTCTTATCTTCTCTTTCGGTAAACAAAAGTGCACATGCAAAGATCTCCTGGGCAGGTCCTGTTTGAAGCTGTTCTCATCCCCACAGGCCCCAGGGAGAGCAGCTGGGCAGCCAGGCCCAAACCAGTGACACTCAGGGCCTCTGCACCTCCAAGCTCTGCCCTTGGTCCAGCTATTGCAGCAGGATGAAGACTAGGTGTGCTCCCAGAGCCAGGGACAGTGGGGGATGGAGGGAGGGGAGAGGACACTGTGCAGGAATAAACCAGGAAAGGGAAAGGAATATTCCTTCTGTTAGGAAATGATGGGGGAGCACCCCATGTGGGGCCTGAGCTGCAGGGGTAGGGGGAAAGAGGAGAGGGGGGAAGTGGATTCAGATCCCAACATAAATGCATCAGCATCTGACAAAATGACTGGGATACTGGACTTGTTTGAGGCAGAAGGAACCACAGCGGCCCAAACAAAACCCATCTCAGGCAGCAGAGGTTGAGAGGATTCTCTTTGGAAGGTTGGTTTATAACTATCCCACCTACAGGTTTTTCTGGTGTTGACGTGAGGGTCTCTCTAGGGCTCACCTCTTCAGGAATGTGCAAGGGTAGATACAAGGTAACCCTGGGGCAGACACTAGACTAGCAGGTCCTCTTCCACTCTGGATTCCTCCAGATCTAAGCCCCCTAATCATAGCTGGCCAACAAAGAGGGGGCTGTCAAAAATGCCCTTGTTTTGCCAGATGGGAAATGAACCTATGCCCTGGACCCCAGACCTCTGCAGCTATTCAGAAGGGGGGGGAGGAGTTGGCTTTGAGGCAGCCTTGCCATGAAGCTCTTTGCCTGGGAATATTTGGAGATGGGGGCTGCAGAAGGCTCAGCTGTGCTCTATTCAGAAGTCAGGAATGTAAACTACAGAGATGATGCCACCCCCAGAAACCCCAAATGGTGTGCCAAAGCCCTGGGGCAGTTTGGAACAACCACACAAGCACATAGGTCCCAGTGTGTGTGCTCCTAGCTCAGGCCCAGAGCCCAGAGAACAGGTCAGACAGCCAGACAGTGGCCCTGGGTGACACCTGGCACCACTGGCCAGAGCAGGGCAAGAAGGACACCAGGAGTCTCTTCAGGTGCTGGCCAAATCCTGACCTGCCCAATGGTCCTTCTGTAGCCTGAACAGAAGCACATTTCTCAGCAGGACTGGGCTTTAATGGACAGAGGCGACCAGAAGGGACTGAGCCCCTGGCCTGGTGGGCCCTAGGGAGCACTTCTTCTGTACAGGGTCACAAGCTCCTTCTGCTTCTCCCTTAGCCCAGGCGCTTCCTGGTTCAGGTCTCCCAAATCTCTCATTTCCTGCAGGACCTGGGTGGCCTGCCTTAGCTGCTCCACAGCCTGGCTCAGCAATGTCTCAGCGCTCACAGGAGCCGGCTTACTGACCAGGACCTTGTTCAACAGTTTCTCCGTCTGTTCTGAGGCCACCTTTACCTCCAGCTGGGCCCGATATAGCCGTTCCCCAGGCTGCCGGGGACGCCGGGGGCCTTCCCCAAGCAGGTCCCCAAGGGAGGAGCAGCGGGGATGGAATTGAGGTGGCAGATCCCAGGGGGGCAGTACTGTAGATGTTGTTGCATCCTTTGGGGGAGTTTCTGGGGTGCCTGTGGTTTGAGATGGCTTGGCAGGCTCAGAACTGTCATCCATGCCATTCACTGAGACCTGTGTTGGGCCAGGGACAGAGATCTCAGGGGTCCCAGGACTCTGGGCTGGCCCAGAAGCCTTCATCTCACTCACACAGGCTTTCAGTTTCTCCGATAAGATCTTAGGCGGGGGTGTAGGAGGCTTCCCACCCTTTCTGGACATGGCCTCTGAAGTCTCAGGACAGGGCTCCTGGGACAGTTCTGTGCTTTCTGGAGCAGGGGGCTCCTGGGAACTGGGGTTCTCACAGTTTACCTTCAGTTTATCAGGCAGGGTGCTGTTGGGGGGCTGCCCAGAGCTGCTGTCCTCGCCTATGGGGGTCTCTGAGTCCTCTGGGCTCTCAGGGTGGACTTCAGAGCTTGCTGAGACAGGGGTTGGGGCTCTCTCCCCCACAGGGATTGGGGTTCTCTCCCCAACAGGAGTCTCCACTGTGTGACTAAGGCTGGTCGTCTCTGGTGCCGGGGAAGGCTTGGTTGGAGGCATGGGGGGCTGTGGTGTCTCCCGGGGCTGATCTGAGCTGTCATCATTGCTGGGGGCAAACACTGGTGGTCCACTGTCTGGAACATCAAGGTCCAGGCGCAGAAGCCCATCAGAAGCTGCGCTGGCTACCTGGTGGGGAGATAGTAGACAGGTGACATCTGCACTGACCGACCATTGGGTCAGGTGTGTCTACTTGCAGTTCCCAAGCCCTCCAATCCAGGCTGTCCAGGCCCCCAGCCTACCCCTACCCCTCTGTTCTGGCTTCCAAGGCTATTTGATTAGAAGCTAAAGTGATTTCCTGATGAATACTCTCCTCACTGCCAAAGAATTCTGTTTTGGAATCACTGGCCAGGAAGTCAGAGCCAGTGTCCTCTTGAAGACCCAGCCTGGTTTCTTCCAGCTGGGAAAGAGATTGTTTTTAGGAGCAACTGTGCTGGCCTGGGCAGCAGGGGACATGGTACCAGCCCTGTTTCTGACCCCTACCTGAGGGTATGACCCTGGGAAGGTTCTTTCTCTAAAGCCCACCCACCCACCACCAGCCCAGTATCCCCCCAATCAGTTGGTGACAGGACCAGGATTCAAAGAGAGTTCTCTTGAGTCACCTCAAGCTCCCTCACTTCTATGTGCCTTTCTGGAGACCTCTGTGCCGGTTGCCGGCCACTCTCCAGCCCTTGTCTGCCCAGCTGCTCAGCAGCAGCCCGTGTCCACTCTCCTCACATCATCACACACAGCTGACCACCACAGAACAGCTGCACCAAGGCTCCAGGGACCACAGAGACACACGGCAGCCCCATGGCCATGGGGACCATCAAGGGAGCCTCAGGGGCCCTGGGGTAGGGGGACTGGGCAGGGGCCCTTTCCCAAGGCCCCTCAGATGATGGGTGTCATTCTCTTTGACATGCACCCAAACTTTGCAGAGGGCCCCTCCCTCCAAGGCAGCCCTCTGTCCCCACCCAGCATTCCTATTCTTTCTGGCCACTTTAGTTGCTTCCTCTGCAGGCTCCTGTCCCTCAGCTGACAGACAGGCACAGGCTGCCTCATCACAAAAACGTGCCCTCGGGTCCTTTTCTACAAGGCCTCCTTCCCCCTGGTGCTTCCTGTCCTTCACCCTACGATGACTTCTTCTCTTAGGAAACGTGTGGCAAACGACACCACCACCTGCCTTTTCCTTGGTCCTGCCCTTGTGACTTGGGGCTGCCAACGTAACTGATGACTGCCAGGTTCTGTGCCCATCTCTCTCGGCATGTGCCATTTGCCTCCCTGGTTTCCTTGTCCTTGGCTTTCAGCTGAGCTCCCTCCAATCCCCAAATGTAGCATTTGCTACAAACCTACCCTTGCCCGCCCCCTCAGCTGCATCCCTCCCCAACACTTGTACCTTTTTTTTTTCTTTTTTTTTTTTTGAGACAGTCTCACTTTGTCTCCCTCAGTAGAGTGCTGTAGCATCATAGCTCACAGCAACCTCAAACTCTTGGGCTCAAGTGATTCTCTTACCTCAGCCTCCCTAGTAGCTGGGACTACAGGCGTCCACCACGCCTTGCTATTTTTGAAGATGAGGTTTTGCTCTGGCTCAGACAGGTCTGGAACCTGTGAACTCAGGCATTCCATCAGCTTCAGCCTCCCAGAGTGCTAGGATTACAGGTGTGAGCCACTGCACCTGGCCCACTTGTACCTTTATCTAAATTCCCTATGTCCAGGGCCTCCCTGCACCCAGGCTCCAGGCTTAGGGGCACCTCTGACAACCTGCCCTCTGTCTAGTCCCAGTGTGCCTGGGTAGTCCTTGCTTTCCAAAGCCCCCACCCCCACCTTTATCATCTCCTTCTAGAACCTGGCAAACTACCTCCTCACCTCCTGCCTGGCCCCCTGCCTTTCTCTTTGACCCAACCAGTCCTACCCAGGGCCTCATACTGACCTCTGGAATGCACTCTCCCATCCCCACCCCTGAACTCCTGTAGCCACTCAACACAGCCTGAACCAGCTTAGGCCATTCCTCTACAGGGATATCCTCACTCCAAGTCTGCCATCTGAAACCCCATCTATCTTTTAAGGGTCAGCTCAAATGCCAGTGGCTCCTCATGGTCCCTCCTGCCCTGACCTCCCCTGTACAAAACTTAGATGAGTCTCTGCTTGAAGCAGTCTGTGGACAGGCCTATTTCCAGCTGGAATCTGAGCTCTAAGGGGCAGGGACTACCCTCACAGGCCTCAGTTTCCCTTTGGCACCAATTCTGGCTTAGGCCAGGTACAACATGTGTGTGGATTCAACCACTGAAGGAAGCTATGGGCTCAGAGACATCTACACCCTGCTTACATATAATACCGCTGCCCCCCACCATGCATCCTTGCACCACTCAGGAAGCCTCAACTCCAGGTGTGCTCAGGAAAAAGGTGGCCCCAAGCCTGGCTGCCACCCAAAGGAGCTGGGATCCCAGGCTCAGCTGCCCTTCCACCATCCAAGGTGGAGGCAAAGCCTTACCTCCTTCAGGTGGATTCTTGTTGGTGGCCGGCGCCGCTGGCCTCCCCGCACACGGTCCCGGGTCACATGCTCCAGGGCACAGCTCTTGTCTACCTTTACCTGGGAGGGAGAAGGAATAAATTCAGCTTCTGCCAGGGCTTGGGGAGAGGAGGAAACATCCAGGCATTGACTTGACTTAAAGGCAGGGTTGGTGTCCCGCCATTATCCTCTCTTTGGGTGTCTCCCTGCCTCTGGACCTCTGTTTTCTCTCTGTGACTCTACACTGCCACTAGCATTCTTTTGCAAAGTCTGAGGCTCCCCCTCTCTGCATCTGCCCTCCTTGCCTCAGTCTTCTTGCCCAAATAAGCGCTATTAGCCCTTACCCCTGATTCTATCACAAATTATATAAGCAACACTGAGGCTGCTTTGGGGCAGCTGGGGGAGGGACCCATGAACCCCTAGTACCTGGTTTCCACAGAAAGTCTACCCTGGTGTCTGCCACTCTTCCAGGACACATAGGGATTAGCTAAGAAAGGGCAGGGCCTCTACTCCTTGGGCCTAGGTGTCTGGAGGGCAGCATGTTCTGAGGGTACGAAAAGGGAGTCAAGAGTAGCTGGGAAGCCTCAGAGTAAGAATCACAAGTGAGGCCAGGCATAGTGACTCACACCTGTAATCCCAACACTTAGGGAGGTGAAAGCAAGAGGATCACTTGAGCCCAAGAATTTGAGACCAGCCCAGGTGACATAGCAAGACTCCACCTCTACAAAAAATAAAAAATTAGCCACGCATGGTGGCACATGCCTGTAGTCCTAGCAACTTGGGAGGCTGAGGCAGGAGGATTGCTTTAGCCCAGGAGTTCAAGGCTGAAGTAAGATACGATCATGCCACTGCACTTTAGCCTGAGTAACACAGTGACATCTTGTCTCAAAAAAAGGAAAAAAAAAAATATTTACAGGAGAACCAGAACTCTGAACCCCTGAGCAGTCTGTCCCCGTGATAAGAAATGAGGGGAGCCGGGACCCACCCAAAGGCCCACCTGTCTCTGTTCCTCAATGGAGGGGTGGACACCGCTCCACTAAGACTGCAGGCGGAGGCCCAGCCCATGGCTCCTGTGGCCTCACCTAACATCCATGTTATGTCCCCACCATTTCTCTCCCATGGAATGGGGACATTTCTCCCCACATAATGAAGGGCTGAGCATGACACAGTCACACAGTACATAACAGAGGAGCCAGGTGCTGGGAGACAGGGGACCTAGGTGTTAACAAGAAATCTGCTTGGGAAGATCCTCTCGAGACCCTCAGGTCTTAGTCTCCTGCAATCCAAGGTCAGTAGCACTCTAGACCGCCCCAGGGAACTTTAGTCCAAATGGCAAGGAATCTATGATGTCAAAGACAAATCCTCCTCAGAGGCCAAGGTGGATGGATTGCTTGAGCTCAGGAGTTTGAGACAAGCCTAACCAAGAGTGAGACCCTGTTTCTAAAAAAATAGCCAGGCATTGTGGTGGGTACCTGTAGTCCCAGCCACTTGGGAGCCTGAGGCAAAAGGATCACTTGAACCCAAGAGTTTGAGATTGCTTATGAGCTATGATTCCACAGTACTCTACTCAGTAAGACAAAGTGAGACTGCCTCAAAAAAAAAAAAAAGGCAAATCCTCTCTAGGACATCCTGGCCCCATGGGATATCCTGCCAGCCCCAAGCATGACTGTGGCCACAAATGCCACAGTCCCCACTACAGTACATGAGGCTGAGGTCTGCAAGACAGATGGGGAGGCACAGCTTGGCTTGGGCTTCATGGAAACTGAAGAGAGTTCTCAGCTTACCTGCAGCTCACTCTGGCCTAGGCCCACCTGCTATTTCTACTGAGGCTGGGTCAGAAAGGCTGCAACCAGTCGAATTCTACCCCACCACTTCCCTGCCTTTTAATTTTTTTTTTTTTTTTTTTGAGACAAAGCCTCAAGCTATCCCCCTGGGTAGAATGCCGTGGCATCACAGCTCACAGCAACCTCCAACACCTGGGCTCCAGCAAGTCTCCTGCCTCAGCCTCCCAAGTAGCTAGGACCACAGGTGCCCGCCACAATGCCCGGCTATTTTTTGGTTGCAGCCATCATTGTTGTTTGGCTAGCCCAGGCTGAATTCGAACCCACCACCTTAGGTATATGTGGCTGGCACCTTAGCTGTTTGAGCCACAGGCGCCAAGCCTGCCTTTTAATTTAAAACAAGTTACTTCATTTCCTTATGCCTGTATTTCATCTGTAAAATGGGACTCCACTACCTACTTTGAGGGGCTGTTGTGAGGATTAGTGAGGTGACAACAACAGATGCCCCGTAACAATAACATATCGATGGGTGGTCGGGGGTGAGGTGGGGCAGGTCCTCTCCCACACCACACAGTGCGGAAGGGGAAGCAGAGCTATCCACAGGACTGCATCGTACCTCATCAAAAGCCTTGTTCTTGCCTCGGTTGATCCCTTCATTGAGGGCTTTGATCCAGGAATCCTTCTCCTCCCCACTGGGTGCCTGGAATTTGATGTCATTGACCTGCAGGCAAGATGGTTGGTGAAGGTGACAATGTTTTACAAGCCTCATGTTTGGCATCTTAAAGAGGCTTTCCCCTGCAGATCCCAAAGTCAAACCAAAAGGGCCCTTATGACAGGTCTCATATCTGGACTTCAGAGCAAAGAAATGGAAAGATCAAGCAGGGAAGGGGCCTCCCCCAGCATATATCTGCCAGAGGTTTGTACAAGAACCAGCTTTGCCCTACAGACAGAAACACCCTGGATCTGGTCCCGCTCCATGGGACTCCACAGGCCAGCTCCCTGGTTGCTGGGCTTCAGTTTTCCTGGTAGGTAGGAATAGTCCTATCTATATCCATGCCAGGCTGAGTATGATGACAGGTGATAGATGTGAGGGATGTCGATTCATGAAGGCCCATTGGAACTAGGGCCACCTTCAGCTCTCCACTGAGCTCCACACTCCCCCTGGCCTCAGCTGAAATGCCTAACTCTTCAAGTCTCAGGGCTCTGGCAAAAAAAAAAAAAAAAAAAAAAAAGGGCTCCCAATCTGGCCTCGAATGTGAAACTGTAAAAGAGAAGGGTAGGTCAATTCCAGCCCCCTCATCATACACATGACAAAACTGAGGCTCAGTAGATGAGACAGGACTTGGCCAAGGTGGCCTGAAGTTCATCTCATAGACTCCTGACTCCCGCCCCATATCACAGGTCCCTTCCCATCTCAAGCAGGAGCTTTGAGCTCCTATGTTAGAATTAGAGGGCAGCTTCAAGAACCCCATCCCTGCCAAGCCCAGTTTCCAGACAGGAATGAGAGGAAGGAGTAAAGCCATGCAAACAGAAGGGCTGCTTATGCTGAGGTCAGGGCAGTAGGGCCTCTGAGCCAGAAAGTCCACCACTTATAGGTATCTGACCTTGGGCCATAGTTTCCTTACCTATAAAAGTAAATACCACCACAACCTGCCTCCCAGAGCCATGAACATCACTAAAGAATGAAGTATCTAATTTGTACACTCACGCTCATAGCATTGTTCACAATAGCCAGAAAGGGAAAGCTGCCTGAGTCCATAATGGATGGATAAGCAAAATGTGATACATGCATACAACGGAATATTATTCAGCCTTAAAAAAGAAGGAAATTCTAGGCTGGGCAAAGTGGCTCATGCCTGTAATCCTAGCACTTTGGGAGACTGAGGTAGGAGGATTGCTTGAACCCAGGAGTTCAAGACTAGCCTAAGTAATAAAGCAACACCCCCATCTACAAAACTAGAAAAATTAGCTGGGACATGGTAATGCCCAGCTACTGGGGAGGATAAGGCAGGTAATCACTGGAGCCCAGGAATTGCAGATTGCAGTGAGCTATGATGCTACCCCACTCTAGCCCAGGCAACAGGGTGAGACCCTGCCTCAAAAAAAAAAAAAAAAAAAAAAGGGAAGGAAATTCTGGTACATGCTACTACATGGATGAAACTTGAAAACATTACACTGTACCCCATGATAGTATTAATGTACACTGCTATGATTTAATTTAAAAAAACAAAGAAACTTGAAAACATTACACTACGTGAAATAAGCCAGGCACAAAAAGATAAAGAGTATGATTACACCTATATGAGCTGCCTAGAGTAGTCAAAATCTTAGAAAGTAGAACGGTCGGTTCGGCGCCTGTAGCTCAGCATGCACATGCACCAGGGCTGGAGGGTTCAAACCCAGCCCTGCCCTGCCAAACAACAATGACAACTGCAACCAAAAAATAGCCGGAGGTTATGGTGCGTGCCTGTAGACCCAGTTACTTGGGAGACTGAGGCAAGAGAACTACTTAAGCCCAAGAGTTTGAGATTGCTGTGAGCTGTGACACCAGAGCACTCTACTGAGGGTGACACAGTGACTCTGTCTCAAAAAAAAGGAGAGTGGTAATTACTGGGAGCTGGGGGAGAGGGGGAGTGGGGCATTATTAATGGGTATAGAATTTCAGTTTTACAAGATGAAAAGCATTATGGAGCTGGATGGTGGTGATGACTGTGCATCATGAACATATTTAATAACACCAAAACATATACTTTGCCACATACAAATGGTTAAGATAGGCCAGACATGGTAGCTCACACCTGTAATCCCAGGATTTTTTTTTTACTTTTTTTTTTTTTTTTTTTTTTTTTTTAGTTTTTGGCCAGGGCTAGGTTTGAATCTGCCATCTCCAGCATATGGGACCGGCACCCTACCCTTTTGAGCCACATGCGCCGCCCAATCCCAGCACTTTGAGACATCAAGGCAAGATTTCGAGACCAGCCTGGACATTATAGCAAGAATTCATCTCTACAAAAAGATTTTAAAAGTGTAAATAAAGGCTTAGATAATCCCCCAAATCTATAAAAATCTTTATTTTAATTTTTATTTAATTTTATTTTATTTTTGAGACAGAGTCTCATTTTATCACCCCCAGTAGAGTGCTATAGTGTCATAGCTCACAGCAACCTTAGACTCTTGGGCTCAAGCCATGCTCTTGCCTCAGCCTCCCAAGTAGCTGAGACTACAGGCACCTACCACAACACCTGGCTATTTTTTAGAGATGAGATTTCATTCTAGCTCAGGCTAGTCTCAAATCCATGAGCTCAAGCAATCTACCTTCCTTGGCCTCCCAAGTGCTAGGATTACAGGCATGAGCCCCTGCACCCGGCTAAATCTATAAAAAAAAATTTATTTTTTTTTAGAGACAGAGTCTCACTTTGTTACCCTCAGTAGAGTGCAATGGCATCACAGCTCACAGCAACCTCCAGCTCTAGGGCTTAGGTGATTCTCTTGCCTCAGCCTCCCGAGTAGCTGGGACTACAGGGACCTACCACAATGCTCGGCTATTTTTGGTTGCAGTTTGGCTGGGGCTGGGTTTGAACCCACCACCCTTGGTATATGGGGCTGGCACCCTACTCACTGAGTCACAAGTGCTGCCTTATAAAAAAATGTTAAAAGGTTAAGATGGTGAATTTTATATTATGTGTATCTGAGCACAGTTTTCAAAAACTGGGGGCTCAGCACTTGTAACTCAAGCAGCTAAGGCACCAGCCACATACACCAGAGCTGGCAGGTTCAAATCCAGCCCGGGCCTGCCAAACAATAACAACTACAACCAAAAAATATCCGGGCTTTGTGGCAGGCACCTGTAGTCCCAGCTACTTGGTAGGCCAAGGCAAGGGAATCTCTTAAACCCAGGAGTTGGAGGTTGCTGTGAGCTGTGATGCCACAGCACTCTACCCAGGGCAACATCTTGAGGCTTTGTCTCAAAAAAAATTGGGAAAAACGATGTATCTAACGTGCTAAATCTGGAACTGGGCAGAGTGAATGCTCAGTAATAGGAATTAAAACCTCTACCTTCCTTCCAGACAAAACAGTCCCAGTTTCCTCATCTGTAAAATGGGATAACACCTCCTACTACAAAGCAATGCTAAAAAAAATACAGTTACTGAATGAATGAGCCAGTAAATAAATAAACTGGCCCAAGGTTCGTTTCCTCACCCTGTTTTTGGGCTGCTGCCTACTCTCTGACCTCAAGATGCCCTAGTTCTCCATCAGCAGGCTGTTGCCAGCCAGCCCATCCCCCGCCCTGGTGTTAGATATTGCTTCCCCGCCCCCACTCTCCCAGTTATGTAACCTGCAGTCTGGCTCCCTCTGCATCCTCATTATATAACTTCCTCCTGGCTGCTGCTGCCTCCTTCTCATACAGAGACCCGGGTCCCACCCCCACCACACCAGGCACAGCCAAATGCTCATTTGCATGACCAGGGTAAATTTGATCCTGGCAGCAGATCTGCAGTTAAGTCAGAAACCCCAGGGCACCTTGGCAACTGCCACTCAGCCCAGACATCAGGGCTGCTGAGGGTTCAGGAAAGGACCACTGTATCTGGAGACTGCAAAGGCCATCCAACTCTGTGATGGGACCTACCAGAAGGGGAGTTTGGGGCCAGCCCCTCTAACCCCAGTTGTTAATACTATTCATGGGCCCTGAGCAGGTGGGGCCCCTGCCTGGCCCAGGGCTTAGCATCCCAGAGAGCTTGAGAACTCAGTAGCCCGTGGAACAAGAATGCACCAGAGAGCAGGCCTGGGGGTGAGGTCTTTGATTGGCTTACTACTCTAGGCCTCCAAGGGCAAAAGAACAGAACCATCAGGCCAAACCCAGACTGCCTAGCCCACCTGAGGCAGCTGCCCATCCCTTCTGCTCCCCAGCAGGGAAATGGCCACAGGGAAGACCTACAGTACATTAAAAAAGAAAAAAAAAAAAAAAAAGACCTACAGTACAAGCAAAGGGCTCCCATAAGAGAGGGAATGCAAGGGGACCCAGCTCCACCCCAAGGAGCCCTGTAATCTTGGCTGAATGAGCAAGCATCCCACAACAAGGACAATTAAAACACCGTGCCTCTGGCCCCACCCCCACCTCTATGTCCCAAAGGGCCACAGGCTGCACAGGTCCCTCCCTACTCTCTTCCAAGAAGCCTCAGGGACACAGGCACTACTAGATTAGATGCTAATAGGACTGGCCACAAAATATGCCCACAAGGCCTAGGAAAAGAAGAAGGACAAAATGGTAGAGAGGGAAAGGTAGGAAGGGGAAGAGAGGAGACAGGAAAGAGGAAAGGGCCAGGCTGGCCAAGACCAGCAGGGCAGCAAGGCCCAGCAGTGGCCACCCTGCTTCCTGGCAGCGTCTGCCTGTGACCTCATGGGCAGGGGTGTGGGGACAGAGAGGCAGGGGGAGAGGGGGCATGCAAGACACTGGAGTCTTTGTTTATTTGATTAGAGGGGGAAAAAAAGGCGGCCTCAGGACCAGACTGGCGGGGTCATGTGACCTTCCGCAGGCTGCAGGCCTCACAGAGGATGGGAACACCCAGGGCGACAGGAAAGGAGGGTGAGAGATGAAGGAATGTGGCACTCCGGGCCAGGTCCACCATCTGGTCTCTGGGGAGCCCTTGCTCTGTGGGCTCCTGGGGTTGTGAGGGTCAGGGGCCTGTGAACTGGAACCAGTATGGCAGTTTCACCCTGTGACGCCCATCACTTGCTCCCAGCCCCGGCTCCAGTTTGTTTGTCCTATTCCTAAAGCCAACCTGAACTCTTGCAGGGTTGGGGGACTGGAGGGAGGGTGTTGGCTGGAGCAGCCAGAATGCAGCTGCACAAATAGGCCTCTCTGAAGGTGATGTCCCACCCTGAACCGGGCCTGCCTCACCTAGTCTACCACCAGCTGATTCTCAGAGCTGGGGGAAGGAGGCTGCCCACAGAACAGACTCCCAGAGAACCAATAGGCAAGGCCCCCGTGCCCCACATCCACATAAGCACACTCAGAGACACACACCCCAACAGACCCAAGCCAGAACACTCATCTGCATACATAGAGGTGCACACACGAGCGCCAGACACCCAGGCAGAGATCTTCATGCTTAACGTACTTTGCATCTCTCTCAAACACACATACATGTACACAGTGCCCATAAGAGAGGAAATAGGTCTCCAGGACAAGGTAGGGGGTCTAGGGCCTGGAAAAGTAAAATGTGACTCTCCTTGTCCCCAAAGAGCTCTAAGCAGGAGATGGCAAGTGAAACCTAAGCCCAGCCTCAAGAACCTTCCTGACATTCTAAATCTGCCCCTACTCTGGGGCACATCCTCTAGCTTTCCAGCTTAAGAGCTCCATAGCCCCCTCCACTGCAATTTCAGTTCCTTCTCCATACACCCTGCAGAGCAGATCAAAGGGTCAATAAGCAAAGCATCATGGCCTGCTCCTGGCCCCTAAAAAGCTAAAGGAGAAACAGAATGGCCTCCAACAGGCCCAGACCAGACCTACTGCAGAGGCCCTGGCCTCTGTGACTCAGCCCTGCTCTGCAAGGCTCTGCAAGGCTCTGTGTGACGTGCAGAGGATAGCAGTGAGGCGTGGCCCAGCTGCAGAAGGGTGAGTGCTTGCGAGAGGTGCGGTACACACTAGCCTCAAAGCTAAACTCCCTCCTAACATCTGTGAAGCTACACCATGTGTCAACACCCACCGACTCCCCGCCAGAGAAATGTGATGCAAACAGCAAACTTCATCTGTACGCACAGCATATTCCCAGGAAAGACTCTCTTAAGCAAGAGCCCTCCCCAGCTACAGCCAAGAAAGGAAAATGCAAGGGGAGGAAACCTAGGCCTCCCAGCCCTGAACCAAAGGGGAGGCCACATCCTCCTCTCTGCCCCAGACTAAGTCAGCTTGTCAGAGGCCTGGTGAGGTCAAGACCTCAGCCCCAGCTCTCCAAGCTCAGCCCTGGGCCTCCCCCAGAGTGTGGGTAAGGGCCAAAAAGGCCCCACCTCCCAAAGACTACTATCCATCTCCAGCCTGTAATGGAGGCCCCAGGGCCTGGGAGGGATAGGGGAGCAGAGCTCTCTCAGCAGAGCCCTAAGTGCAACTTTTACCAGTTAGGGGCTGAGGAGATACTAGTACAAAATGAGTAAAAGATCCAATCTATGGTAGCTGCTGGGTGTAAGTCTTAGCCACACACCAACAGAAAACCTACAGGCTTCTTTAAGGAGCCCAGCCAGCCTTACATCTCCAGAGGTGAACTCCCCAACAGGCCCTGGCTTGGAGGACACTCGGGCAGCAGTAGGCATCTCCCTACCTTGTTCCCTGGGGATCGAAGCAGGATAAATCGGTGTTTCCGCTTGAGGAGGGCACGAAGGTCCTGGCACTTCTCATAGCTTCCCAGCTCCACCGTCTCTACACATTTCTGCTCGTCCTGAGGAGGGAAACAGAGGGGACATGAACTGGTGACAGGAAGACCACCATAACCTTCAACCACCCAGGCTACTCTCTGGACCAATGATTTTCAACCAGTGTGCTATGAAAATTTTTCTTTTCTTTTTTTTTTTTTTTTGAGAGTCTAACTCTGTAACCCTGGATGGAGTACCATGGCATCATAGCTCATAGCACCTCAAACTCTTGGGCTGAAGCAATCCTCTTGACTCAGCCTCCCAAGTAGCTAGGACTATTGGCACCTACAACAACACTGGCTAGTTTTTCTATTTTTGGTAGAAAAAGGGTCTCACTCTTGATCAGGTTGTGAAAAAAAAAATTTTTTTTGAGACAAAGTCTCACTTTGTCACCCCTGGTAGAGTGCCATGGCCTCACAGCTCATAGCAACCTTAAACTCTAGGGCTCAAGCCGCTTGCCTCAGCCTCCTGTGTAGCTAGAACTACAAGTATACTGTCCCCCACAACACCTGGCTATTTTTAGAGACGGGGTCTTGTTCTGGCTCAGGCTGGTCTCGAACCTGTGAGCTCAGGCAATCCACCTACCTTGGACTCCCAGAGTGTTAGGATTATAGGCATAAGTCACGGTGCCTGGACCCCAGGCTGTGAAAAAAAAAATTTTTTTTTTTTGAGATAGAGTCTCACTATGTCGCTCTGGATAGAGTGCCATGGTGTCACAGCTCACAGCAACCTCAAACTCTTGGGTTTAAGTGATTCTCTTGCCTCAGTCTCCCAAGTAGCTGGGAGTACAGGTGCCTGCCACAACACCCGGCTATTTTTTGGTTGTAGTTGTCACTGTTGTTTGGCAGGCCCAGGCTGGATTCAATTTTAGTATATGTGCTGCCGAAGCGAGCACCCCAGGGTGGATTCAAACCCTCTAGCTCTGGTGTATGTAGCTGGCACCCTAGTTGCCAAGTTACAGGTGCTGAGCCAAGCTGTGAAAAAGAAAAAATAAATTTTTTTTTTTTTGAGACAGAGTCTCCCTATGTCGCCTTGAGTAGAGTGCTATAATGTCACAGCTCACGGCAACCTCAAACTCTTGGGCTTAAGCGATTCGCTTGCCTCAGCCTCCCAAGTAGCTGGGACTACAGCACTCGCCATAATATCTGGCTATTTTTTTGTTGCAGTTCTCATTGTTGTTTAGCTAGCCCAGGCTGGGTTTGAACCCACCACCCTCAGTACATGTGGCTGTTGTTATATTCACTATGCTACAAGCACCAAGCCAGGCTGTAAAAATTGTTAAAGATCATTAAATTGGCTCAGTGCCTGTGGCTCAAGTGGCTAAGGTGCCAGCCATGTACACCCAAGGTGGCGGGTTCGAATCCAGCCTGGGCCCGCCAAACAATGATGGCTGCAACCAAAAAATAGCCGGGCGTTGTGGCAGGCGCCTGTGGTCCCAGCTACTTGGGAGGCTGAGGCAGGAGACTCGCTTGAGC